GGAGTGGACTTACGCTTGGCACAAGGTATTTCCAAGTTCATGACTGTATCAGTTTACAATAAATATGAACAAGAAGTTAAGCCTGCTGTTCTCGTTTAAGGCATTCTTTTGCTGCACAGATATTAATCAGATTAGTAATTCAAATAAGATTGTTGTGTTGTTAATCCAAACAAGTCATTGCTGCAGCAGGGCAGCCCAGTGGTTAGGGTGTCAATGTGCTTACACATCTGTTGCTGAAGTGACCCTGAGCAACACACTGAACCCTGGCTGCTACCGAGGCGTACTCCTGCTGACCATGCCCTCTGACCCCCCCTCAGCTTGTGGATATGCAAAGAATTTCTAATTACTACTGTATGCATGGAGTGCCCTAAATTCCTGTGTCAAACTGCGCTGCCTCGTGCACCTTAAAACACATCACGCCTCTGCTTCAGCCTCCAATTGCTCTGCACACCAAACCAGAGCCGAGCTGCTCAGGTTTATCAACACATCTGTTCCACACATCGTTTTCATTTTTAGCTTTTTGTGGGTTCCCAAATTTGACTTGCCGAGTGTGTTGCGAGGGCTTGGCTGTGTGGAAAATCCACGCCTGCATTCACACTTTTTTTTTCTTCTTGAATGCTCAGAGCCTGCAGTCTTTAACAAAAATATTTTAGCGCTTTATTTTTTTTCTCCAATGATTTTCATTTCTTTACAGCCATTGCACTTTAATTACATTCACTGAAAATAACACAAGAATTTGCCATAGATAATAACGCCTCTTTCACTGCACTTGTGTGAATACAAAGGTCATTTGTGTGCTTTGAATTAGTTCAACTTTCAGGTCATTACTTGATTTGATTTGAAGCTGTTTGTGTCTCCCTCCTTCTACAGTATGAATGGTGCTCAGTGCTCAACTGATATGTCGCCTCAACAGCTTTGCCTCATTTTATACTTCATTTATAGACATAATACAGTGAATTAAAGGCATTTAGATTTCTCTGACACCCAGTCACATGCTTTTAATAAAAAGTACAGAATACACTTGGGATTCACTGACACTGTATAAAACAAATAGGAATGGCTGATTTAAAATAATCACTATGAAAAAAGACATGACAGCCGCATGATTCGTGTTACTGTCAAGGTCACTTATGAATAATTTCTTTATCAGTTTTTTTTTAATATGAGCAATTGGTCTGCACTTTGAGATACATAATGAATACTTTTTAAGACAAAATACTGCATATGAACCGATGAATCCTGTGTTTAATCCTCTCATTTCTTTCCCTTCCTGTCATGTTAATCAGTGTTTCCTTGACTTGGCCTGCATGATTTGTGATGGTATCTTTCATTAAGCTAAACTAGAAATACAGGTCTGAGGTAATCTGTACAGCTCAGTAGCTTTGCAGTGTGTCCATTCTGCTGTGTTTGTGTAGTTTTCTCTTACTCTCACACAAAGAAAATGCATAAATAAAAGCAACATGATATATTTTTATGCCACTGATATTACTATGAAAACAGAAAGTATTCAACAGTATTTTATTAATCAATAATAAAATGTGAAAATGCATGGTGTTATGTATTGAGAAATGTTTTATGATTATTTAACCATGTTGACTTTTTACTTGATTACTAATACTACAATTGATAACACATTAAATGTTTCATAAACTGTAAGAAAGTACCTTATTTATTAGTTATGTTATTTATTGTGTCATGCACATAAAAGTGCCCAGCCCACACGACACCAACAATACTGTTGCGCCCACAGCTAACATTTTTTTATAATCATCCATCCAAAAGAAATTATTTAGAAATTGAGGAAATTTTACTAAAGCATGCAGCCCTTAAATAACCACACTCTGAACAATAAAACACGAAATGGACTTCATTTTTGATCTTGCCTAAAACACATAACAAACGAAGCATTTTGTCTTTAGGGAGACCATTAAACCTGTCAGTTTCTATGATGTACTGGTAATTACCAGAGCATAACTGTGCACACAGAGATTTTTTATGTGTCCTTAAATTCTTCATTATATAAGGCTCTACTGATTAATTCCAGCAGTTTTTGTACATAGTCCCTCCATGTATTAATGCAAAACTGTACTCAGGAAAGTAAAAATATAATTCAGTAAAATTATCTCAATGCAAACTTTGTGGTTAATTACAAATGAGTTGATTTTGTACTGCCAGGCGCTCTTCTCACACTCTCTGAATTTCAGCCCACAGTATCTCCATAAGGATTTGACTGTAGCTTCACTAGGCTCTGGATTACTTTGAAGCAGTAGGGGGTACACAGTGTAAGTCGGAACAAGTGTGAGTTATCAATCCACCCTACAAATTATCATGTTCCTGCTACAGAAGCTTGTGCACGTCTGGCATGAATGACTCGTGAGGGTTTTTTCCCCTCCTCACTTGTCTTTTTATTGCATTGCATGGTAAAATTAGAGAGGAGGGGGAAAAAAAACAACATAAATTGTTCTTGACAGAGACAGCAGAGGGAAGATGGTGGGGGCCAGAGATTTCACCTCTAAAAAGCTTCATCAGTTTATGTACATTTGGTTAAAGTTTAAATATAGAGAAAAAAACACACATTCTTTGTGTCAGTGCCATTATGCAACTAGATCTTATACCCAGACACAGCTACAGGCTATAAAATAAAACAGCCTTTCATTCTTTTAGCTTTCCCACTTTTCTCTGTTTGTGTCCCTTTCCCTCCTGCTCATTGACTCTGCCTGCAAGGTGCTTTTAGCGGGCCTTGTGTGGCCGGGTTAGAGATGGATGTGTGGCCCTTGGGAGCCGCAAGCAGAGAGCAACACTGATCATGTCAGACAGGCTGAGGAGGCTACATAAGATCATCATCACCCAGTAGTGGAGTGAATCGCCGCAGTGGCACTTTCACACAACCTCTGACCTCCGGGGTAACCTCTCAGGTCATGATCAAGGTCAGGGGTCAGTGAGGACCTCTGTGATCAGGGAGCTCGCAGGCCCCTCCAGCCGCTTCCTCCTCTTTTTCTCTCTATGTTCTCTCCCTCTTTTTTTTCTTGCTCTTTCCTTTCCCTTTGCCTCATCTTCTATCTGTTTTTCTATCGCTCACACTCTCTTTCACTGGCCGGGACCAATTGAGACATCCCATCCTGTGGGAGTGCAAAAGGGAAAGCAAGAAAAAATCAATAGGGAGGATGAGTGAAGACCTGGGGGTCCCATCAAAAACTGAATGCTTCCCTCTGTGCTGGTATGATTCACACTCACACAAAACACATACATACACACAGAGGTGTTACATTTGACAAACAGGAAGCTAGCAGTAAACATGGACTTGGGAAAAGATGCATTTTTTCACCTGTAATAATACTAATAATCCTTATAAAATGGCCAACACTGTCCATATTAAATAACCCGAGAGGCCTTTATGTCCGTTTTGCTGTCCTCCTACCTGTATTGTATACTTGTACACAGCTGCTTGATCATGAGAAAGATGCGATATTGGTCCCTCAATGGAGATTCAAGGTCTAAAATCGCAAATGAAAGAGCGTGATGATAAAGAAAGTTATTTTCTAGCAAGAAAGAAACATAAATGCCAATCTTTTGTGCATCACCCTGGCTGTAATTTCAGTTACGCAAAATGTCCCCATATCACCAATCAGTGCAGCCTTAATTATACATTAAACATTTCCAGTAACATTTGCGTGGTTTTGTGCCGTCTAAAAAAGGATTTGAAAAAAAAAATGAACAGAAAGAGGACAAACAAAAGTCACTCTTATCTATCATTTCCCGACCTCAGCCACCTCTGCTATTTTCTGAGGAAAGACGTACATGTGTTTATGATGTTGAGCCTCACTACGTATCCATAACTTATGAGATTGCTGTGTGTCTTCCCAACATAAGATAACCTCGAGCACAACATTAAATGATCGGCTGAAAATAGAACTGTTCAGATGAAAGGGAGGATAAATAATGCAGAAAGAATACAGAACCTCTTATGGGGATAAATAGTCACACACACATGCACGCAACAAAGATATCCTTTTTCCCCCCTTTTTGCTCCATGGTGAAGAAAAGTGAATGGATATAACAGGAAGGAGGAGGACCCAGTGGAGACACACATGCTTCTTGCTTCATCTCCTCCCACTCCTCCTTGTCTGCCATTTTTTCCCGGTTCACATTCAGACTTCATGACATACTCTGAGTCTGTAGGGAGGAATAATGTTGTCCCAGTCACGCCGTGTTTTTCCTGCCCACCAGAGTTCAGACACAACACGCAGGATTTCCAACCCCCACCGCTTCATCATTTTTTCATGAGTTTTGATCAGAATGCGTGCACATAACAACAACCTGGACAGCTGATCCCTTTACACATACACAGAGAGTAATATGTCACTCTGTGAGAGCTGGTGTTTTTGTTTTATTCCTGTGTTTGTTTAGGTTAGATCACCACATTAAAACTGTGAGTCATTTATTAAGATTTCTGGTTAGAGGGTGTCGCAATGCTGGGTCATATCTAATAAATAAAACATTCAAGACAAACCTTTTCAAAGCCTGGCTGTTGCCTGACTAATTTCCAGCTGAAATGTTTATTCATTGGCCAAATTAAACATGCATGTTTTGAGAAAAATTCCAACGTTACTGCACTTCAGCAGGCAGCTTTGTGTAGGGAGACACCTAGTGGTGGATGACATGTGTAGCGTTTATGTAGGGATAAATAGAAGAGGTTCACAATTTAGACAGATTGAGGTTCTTCTAATAGGTTATGGTTTATTATCTTACAGCACAAAAACTTTAAATTAGTCAGCCCATAAAACATGAGGGTCTTTGCTAATTCATTTAATATGAGTTCATTTGTTTGCACCCAGCATTGACAAATCTCGTAGGCTCACAGGCTTCTGATCTGACCCCTGGCCCCCAAAGGAGAATTTTAGGATTTAGAGTACCTCACAAGCTAAATAAAAAATATGTCTTGTTCTATAAAAATGACCCCTGTTTATTCCATCAGCAGTACACGCCCTGGGCCAAGCTGTTTACCCAACCTAAAAGTGCCTGGCAGCAGGCCTCACAAAAGCCCCATTCACAGGTAACACGAACCCAGACCAACGCTGCCACGTCAAAAATGTTTGAGCATACAGATCTACCTGCCACGACTGTGGAGGACAGTTAGCTTGTCGGACTGTTTAGGCTCCATTATCAATGCTATTAACCGCGCTGCTTACCGCACCTGAAACTACAATCACTTAGGACAAGGTGTGCCAGCAGGATGTAATAAAGGCATGGAATTATTTTTGTCCTATTCTTTTCCTGAAAAGGTTTGAGTAGCCTGTATGCTAGCCCTAAGTGCAGTGGACAAATGGACCCAACACATTCTGAAAGAGGTTTTTGAACTTTGGGGGAAAGTGCAGATGAATGGCTTCGATGGGAGTTGGGGCTCATTGGAGAGCAGCGGGCCGCTCCACAATCACAGTTCACAGAGGGGACGGGCGCTCAGGTTTGTCCCAGAGGGAGAAATGGTGTGTACTTGTTCTCAAAGGGACCTGCTCCTCTGTGTGCGCGGCTATCGTTGTTTTTTTGCTATTGCTGGGAGTCTGCCTACTCTTCCTACCGGACCCGCTCACGCTGGAACCGTTTGTCTCTGAAGAGAACAGCGCGGTGACGGTCCTGATATGGACGCATCCGTTCGGTCGGTACCGCGAACTTCCTGACTGCTTTGCGCTCTATCAGATCGGCGGATGCACGCTCACTGACGACGGGCGCGCGTATCCGGAGGCTGACGCTGTGATCATTCACCACAGGGATGTTGCCACCGGCACAGCTGATCTGCCACCGGAACCGCGGCCACGTGCGCAAAAGTGGATATGGATGAACTACGAGTCCCCAACTCACACACCCAGGTTGTGGCTTTTTGGGGATGTTTTCAACCTCACAATGACCTACCGGACAGATTCAGATATTTTCCTGCCGTACGGTTATCTGGTCCCCCATGATCGCAGAACCAAAGGTATCCCGAACCGCTTTGCGCATCAGCTCCGCGTACCCTCACACCTCCTCCGGCCCCGCCTCTTGGCCTGGGTCATTAGCAACTGGTCTGAGTCCCATGCGCGCGTGGCCCTCTATTACCAGCTCCGCCGTTACATCCAGGTGGATGTTTTTGGGCGCGCGGGCCGGCCGTTACCTGAGGACAGCGGAGGCAACAGTGTGGTGCGGCTGGTCGGACGGTACCAGTTCTACCTCGCGCTGGAAAACTCGCAGCACACCGACTACATCACAGAAAAGTTGTGGAACGCAGTCACGGCCGGTGCCGTCCCGGTGGTCCTAGGTCCTTCCAGGCAGAACTATGAACGCTTCCTGCCTCCCGAGGCCTTCATCCACGTGGACGACTTCCCCACGGTGCGAGGGCTGGCCCGGTACCTGCTGACGCTGAGGCGCAACCCAGCCCGGCTGAGGCGGCACTTGGACTGGAGAGGAAGCTACAGCGTGCACCAGCCCTCCTTCTGGGCTGAACACTACTGCACGGCCTGCAGGGCGGTGAGAAGGACAAGAGGCGGGACTGATATGGTCAAAGACTTGACACGCTGGTTTCACTCGTGAAGATGAGCAGTAGGCTATCACCTCCAGAACCAGCTGATTTGTAACCTCACCTGCCCACCTGATGATCAGCTGTCAAAGTTTACAACAGAAACCTACGGTATTTATCAACCATGGTTGCTTATTAATATAATGAAATTTATAGGCCAATGATTAATTAAACTATGTGATAGCCTAACTGAGAATGATTGTTCATGACCCTACTGTTGCCCGTTTTACGATTATTTACACCCTCAGAGTAAAGTTATTTTTCAAAGTTTCCTGAACTCATGATGTTTTTGTGTGTATGTTTTTTGTTGTGTTCTGTGTTTTTTTCTGTAGAAAAGTTGGTTTTGTTTGTATTGTAGGCCTATGGCCCAAAATCACACATTTCCCTCACAAGGCCTAACATGCATAGGCTACATACAACAACATAGACACCCTCTGGCCTTAGATCCTGTTTAGAGAACTATACAAATATTATTTTCTCTATTACATTGATTAATGTGTTTTGAGGCAGCCACTGGTTTCAGCTGATTGCATTACAAGAAGAAAATCCTCTTGCAGAAAAAAAGATTTGCTTGAGATGATTCATCGCAGTAAACCGTGTTTCTAGGCCAACATTTATTGTCCAATAAGTCAAAATCCTCCCTTTACATTTAAGTATCATGCAAAATTAGTTTAAAGGTGCTCCAACACGACTCACTGACAAATCATAAAGGTGTAAAATGGTGAAAAAGTATCTCATGCAAGTTTCAAATCTTTGCATGGTGACTACTACACAATAATGAAATAGAAGTTACTGCTTTTGAAGATTCTTGTGTGTCAAGCTTAAAAGCCAGGAGGATAGCTTAATAGTGTAGTAGTAACGTGCATTGAGAAAAGATTGCAGCTACAGCTTGAAATGTACAATTAAACACAATGTTTTTAAAATATCAAGAAAATATGATCACAACACTGTTCCCATTCAGAGGTCTAAACTGAACCTTGGCTTTTTAGCTTTTTACACTCCTTTATGGCTAATAAGCTTTAGCAACAAGGCAGAAAAAACTTGAAAATGAAAGAGGAGGTGAACTGTCTGTTTTCAGGGGAAAAAAGCTTCAGGAGTCAATCACTAGGACCCAGAAGCTGTGATCACTCAAATTTACACCTCTCTGTTAGTACCCTGACACAGAATTAACACTTTGCGCTGTCAAAGGAGACGTTTCCTGCAGACACAGGGGTAGCGAGTAATGTTGCTCCTCATAATGAGCTGATGCCTCAACAGCTGTTGAAACTACTGACGTCTATCAGCAATAATGCTTTCAGATGGCCAGAACAGCCAGACCCCTTAGACCCCTCAGACCCCTCAGACCTGTCATAATCCGTTCATGTACATGAGGGAATTATGAGCATATCTAGTTAATGTGACTATATTTATATTCACTCTTTATCCTTTCAAATATAAATCCAGTACATATCCCGAAGCTTGTTTTGACATGTCATCATTCAAAGTATCTTCCAAATGTCACACCATATCTTGAAGCATGTACATCAGAATCAGAATCAGCTTTTATTGCCAGGTATGTGTACACATACGAGGAATTTGACTGAGGATTATACATTGCCCACAATGTGCTTACTTATACAATAATACAATAATAAAATCAGACACAGGCTTCAGTATAGAAAACACATATATACACAATACAAACAAAAACAATCTAGACAGATTGAGACATGCAATGAGCATAGTGCAAAGGATGCAGGAGTAAATTATCCATCCATTCATCCATCCATCATCAACCGCTTATCCTGTGTACAGAAAGGCGGGGTACACCCCGGACAGGTCGGAGTAAATTATTATTATTATTATTATTATTATTATTATTATGTCGGATATGGATGAGATATCCAGGTACACTTTCACATACATGCATACGTGTACACCGTGGGATGGAGCAAAGTGCAAAGGATGCTGGAATAAATAAGTATGCAGGTGCAGGTGTTATGTACTTGAGGTAGGTGGATTTGGTATATAGTATATACAATATGAAAATATAACAATATGAACAGTATGAACAGCTCTGAAATAAAGAACGAGAGAATGATGAATAAATAATAGGTGGTAGTCAGTAAACAGGTGGCTGATTAGAGACAGAGTTACTGGGTTATTGCACAGGAATTGTTCCTGACCCTGTGAGTCAGAAGTCAACTGTTCATCAGAGTGATGGCTTGTGGGAAGAACCTGTTCCTGAGTCTGTTGGTTTTGGTGTACAGTGCTCTGTTGCGCCTACCAGAGGGGAGAAGCTGGAACAGGTTGTGTCTGGGGTGAGATGGATCTGCAGTGATGTTTCCTGCACATTTCCTGACTCTGGAAAAGTATAAGTCCTGAATGGAGGGCAGGTTGGCACTGATGATCTATTCTGCAGTCCTGACTGTCTGTTGTAGTCTGTTCCTGTCCTTTTTGGTGGCAGATCCAAACTAGACAGTGATGGATGAGCAGAGAACAGACTGGATGATGGCTGTGTAGAAGTGGATCAGCAGACACAGGGCTGTTGAGTATGATGATGGGGGACAGACTGGGGGGGCACCTCCTGAAGTCCACGATCATGTCCACAGTTTTGAGCGTGTTAAGCTCTAGGTTGTTACATGTAATAGTCTCTATTGTCTTAACAGAACAGGTGCTGGACAGTTGACCTATTATATAAAGAAATATATTATAGTATAGAAATATATATAGAATATTCCTCTTTTCCTTTCTTAAGAGCTCATCGGATCAAAAAGAAGACCACAAGAAGCTCCACACACAAAAAGATCAGACGCTGTACAAGATGTCTAGCATGTTTATTGCACTCCCTAAAGTGCTGCTTTGATTTAAAAAAAAAAAAAAAACTAAAATATAATCAGCTACATGACTGAAAAGTCAAGTTTTTTGGTGGTTCTGCTGACGGGTCAGTTCCCATCTCAGTTGGTCTAACTCAAAGGAACCACCATCCTCTCTCAATTGGACACGTCTGATTCTGTTTTAGGCATCCAAAAAAGGCCATGAAGAAGGAGGTAGGGGGATCCAACATAGTCATTATGTTTGATCAGAACCAGATCCAGGAGTTCAAACTGTGTGTGTGTGTGTACAGTACAGGCAGGTTGTACAGGACTCTCTCTCTCTCTCTCTCTCTCTCTCTCTCTCTCTCTCTCTCTCTTGCTCTCTCTCGCTATGTGGAGCTGTACTGCCTCTTCTGGTAACCTGTGTAACTGTTCTCTGCTTGCAGGCTTTCAGAATCATGGTCCAGAACAGAGATGGCTTCATTGATAAGAGCGAGTGGCAATTTCGCTGCTCTGGGTACGTATTTATTAGGCATTACTCCTAAAGGAAAGCAGTGTTGGGATTTTGCATTTCCACACAACCTGCTCCATTTCAGAATGTTACTTTTATATTTCTATATCTCATATTTACTTATATATTTTTATTTTATACTATATTTTTTATCTTACAGCTGTGTTTTATACTATATTTTTTATCTTACAATTGCTGTTTCACTGATGCAATTTTGAGCTCAATGCAATGTTCAGGACTGCACTTCACTTTATTCCAAAACATGTTTAGAGAAAGTCAAAGGTCAGTCAATATTTAAGTCTATATTTTCTAATTCAGAGTTTCAGTGTATTTTCATTTGTTTTCCAGTTTCATCCATTCATCATCTATAACCGATAGTCCTGCAGAGTCACGGGGGGCTGGAGCCAATCCCAGCTGTCACTGGGCGATAGGCAGGGTGCACCCTGGACAAGTCACTAGTTCATCACAGGGCTGACACATAGAGTCAAACAACCATACACACTGACATTCACACCTAAGGGCAATTTAGAGTCACCAGTTAACCTGCATGCATGTCTTTGGACAGTGGGAGGAAGCCGGAGCACCCAGAGAGAACCCACGCAGACATAGGGAGAACCACACAAACACGGGGAGAACATGCAGACTTCACACAGAACGGCCAACCAAGGTTCAAACCCAGGACCGTCTTGCTATGAGACCACAGTGCTTCTGGGCCACTACACCACCCGTCTCCAGTTCCAGAAATACTTATGTATAGTAATATATTTGCAATGTAATTTATTTGTATTATCAGTTTTATGTTTAGATTTTTCATTTGTGCAGTGCTGAAAACTACACAAATGTTCATCTAATGTTAGTAGTTATGTTGTTTACTATTTCTTTCCCTTTTTACGACACTACAACTGTCACTTAATATTATTAATTGAGTTTAGTTTTGTTTGTGTTATTGTTTTAAGTAAATTTGAGCTGGCTTTGACTTTTAATTTCAAGGTTGGTTTTGTCTTGGATTGAAGGAATTTCTTCACAAAAACACAAAAGACACTTCAAAAGTCAAAAAGATTTTCTAATCGACTACTATAATCTTGGTGTGTGCATCATAGTTTTCACTTCATTGTCAGCACCAACATTTAGCACAAAAACAATACTCTGAAAAGCCGGTAATGAAGTTCACATTAAACTGAGAGAGTGTGTATCACGTCTGTGCAGATGAACAGTAGTTACTCGCAGCTTTACCTGTGTTTTGTCAGGAACTGACCCACAGAAGAAGATTCTCAACGCTTTCAAGGTCTTTGACCCAGAAAGAACAGGAGTCCTGAGGGAGGGAGGAGACTCTGCAGAAATCACTCTGTGACTTGTGATGCCTCTCGCAGGAATTCATCACTTAGATAACTATGAATTAGTTTGAACAGGACAAAAAACGTAAATCATTAACAAAGTTCCTGTGTGCAGATAATGCATATCTTGTTCAGTGAAATAAAAAGTCAAAGAGATGGAAGTAATTCTTCCTCTCGTGCAGGATGAAATATCACCTCGTGTCACAGGCTGACAAGTTTACAGAGAATGAGGTGAGTTGTTGCTTGGCAACAAGGTGAAATATTGCATGTATCAATATGAAATATGTGATTCAAAGGTGCGGGCGGTGTCGATGCCGTTGAACAAGTTGAAAGTGAGCATTGATGAATACCCAGAATCTGAGGCAATTTAATTTGATTTAAACCCCTTAACTACCAGCTACAGCTTATTACAAAGATCCTTCTCAGCTCTCTTCCAGACCCCCTCTTCAGTAACACTGCCATTCATAACCTACATGGCCCCTGGCTAGAGACACAGTAATCTCATTTAGACAGCAACAGATGTTTCTCTTAAAAACATCCGTTCACTGGGGAGTGAAAAGTCTGCCTCTCATTCTCTCAAGAGATCAAAGAGACCGGTCTAATCGCTATGAAATCTGTCACATTTGTACTGGTTTGAAGAGACATATTGACTTACAGTAGGCTTACTATTTTGTGAAACGTAAAAATGCTGTTCTTCTCCATCCCTCTTACACAGCCTACACATATTTCACGAGGAAGCTTTTCATGCACTGTACTTCAAAAGGCCGTGCAGAGGAGGGGAGAGAGGAAAATGCATATGAAATAACAAAACCTCAAGACAAATAAACAGCACAGTGTTCCCATGGCAGCGCAGTGCGGTAATCTGACGGCTGGTTTCCCATGGCTGTGTCTCCCTGCCCCATAGACCTCCACTCTGTCTCACTGATGGCTCCTGTGATTGCAATCATCCATCTTACTGTCAAAGGCAGAAAAGGACAAGAAAGGGGAAATCACACACACCATCTCTCTCTCGCTCCCTTGTGTCCAGCAAACAAGCCACCCCACTGTGAGCAGAGCCAACACATGGACCACAGGCCTTCTGCTTAGGGTGTGTGAGTGTTTGTATGTATGTGTGCCGATGCTTATATGATCTAGAGAGAACATGTGTGGGTGTGCATCTTTGGTTGTCTGTGCCTGCCCATTATACTGCATGATCAGTCGCTGGAGTGTACAAGGGGGAGCGGTGGACATGTCTGATCTTGCAGCTGATCAAAAGCACCAGAGACTTGTTCCCTTGTGGCCATGCAAGCGGGCCTCATATCAACATGTCTCTGTTCAGTAGACAGGAAAAACAAGAGGAGAGAAACAGGCAGAGGAGGAGGAGGAGGGGAAGGGGTACATCAGGAGAAAGACAGAAACAGGCAGGCAAAGCACATGAAAGGGTGCATAAAGAGGCCAGAGTGGAATATATGACAATGATACATAACTGCACTTATCTCCCTGTTCTGATGAGTTAACTGAATGGCAAAAGCCAGCTCTGAAGCCTATTTGTAGATCTAATAGCATGTGTGATCCTTTTCTGAAACCCTGACAGCGTGCCTTATCATAAAGGCTGTGGAGGGTAATAAATGCCTTACCTTTTTCATTAAAGGTAAATCAGATGTCTACAAACATGCCTCTGGAAGTTGCTGGTAAGCATGACTACAACACCATCTGTTGTGATCACCCGGGGAGAGGACAAAGAGCAGGAGTAAAAGGAGGGGAAGAAACAGAAGGATGAGAAGAAGAGGAATAAGAGGAGCAGCAGTGAAGATTCTGCCTGTAAATAGTCTCGCCACACTGTGAAGTTGTGGCGTGCAGCTTGTGTAAATGTAATTGCGTGCAATAAAGTGGTGACTCTACAAAATGAATCCCTTTGTTGTTGTGACTTTAATCTTACTTCAATAATCCACACATTTAAATATCTGCTGAACACAATGTCTCGCAAATTAAACAGAAAAGCACACCTGAACTTTTTTTTAGCATAAAAGATAATGAAACATGCACAAGACCCAACAAAACAATGGTATTTAAAAAGTACATGTAAACCAGTAGACTCAAACCTCTACAACATATGTTATCAGAGACTGAACAACAGATACAGACACATCCATCTCATTTCGGCTAATGATGGTTAAAGGAAGAGTTTTACAGTTTGGGATGCTTATTTGCTTTCCTGCTGAGAGTTAGATGAGGAAATCAATACCACTCATGTCTCTGTGGTAAAAGCAGTTGCCAGTTAGCTTAGCTTAGCACAAAGACTGGAAACAGGGGGAAACTGCTAGCCTGGCCCTGCCTGAAGCTAACACCTACCAGCATCTGTAAAGGCCCTACATTAACATGTTATATCCTGTTTGCTCAATCTATACAAAAGACTTCTGTGTAAAATAACATGTTGTGGCTTTACAGATGATATGTTCCCGAATATTTCTTGTCCGGGACATGTCAGTAAAATGGGAAGACAAAAATCTCCTGCTATTCTAACTTGGGAGTCTTCTCGCATTATTCAAAAATAGTCACCACCGCTGCTACCAGATAGCTTTCCTTAATTAGTTTATTTTGTTGTGTTATATTTGTAGCACTTCATTAACAACTTAAACCAGCTGCACACTAACAGTGTATTGCTCTTATGAAATTGTTTGAATTGGTCTACTAGTGTTAATATATATTCTTTAATGTAACTGTCAGTGAGGGCAGCCATATTTCGTCGCTTTCTCCAAAGGTTTGTTGACACTTCTGTAATGTCAGAGGCTGCCATGACCAGTTTTTCCCACCCAGCTGCTCAAAATTTCAGTCTGAATGCCGTGAGCACAGCCTTGTCGTCACCATGAAGTGCTGATAGGAGGATTTCTTTTTCCACCTTTGAACAGAGCCAGGCTAGCTGTTTACCCATGTTTTCAGACTTTGTACTAAGCTAAGGTGCTGGCTCCAGTTTTATATTAAGCATACAGATATGAGAGTGGTGTCAATCTTCACGAATAAGCTGAAATCCCAAAACACTGAACTATTCCTTTTACATAATGAACCGTGTAATGGAGAAAACAAAGATTGTACCAGACATGGTCAAAGCTTTATTCAGCGACCAACAGAGACTCTCTCAGAGAATTATTAAATAATAATCATATCAATTTAGAAAAAAATTTCAGAAGCAGTTTGTGAGGAAGTCAATGTAATTCTGTCAGGTTTAGTGCTCCATCATCCAGTCATGTGAAGGTGTACTGGAGCACTGGAGCCGAGCATGGTTTGCGGTTTCCAGGCCAAAACTCAACTGTTTCAGCATCCTTTCCTTTTGCTTTCCAGATGTGCGCTCTCCAGATGCTATCCATTTCACCTAACTTTATTTTAAGCAGATATTCTTGGCAGCTTGTCATGTCTTACCTCAATTTTAACAAGGCAGAGCAACCAGAGAGAGAGAGAGAAAGAAGAAATATGGTTGACAGGCTAACATGAGATGAACCCTGAGGTCGTTCCAAAAATGTGTTTGACACTAAATGGTATATTTTGGGTCCAGCTCTCGGGAACTCATGTCGCAACCTGAGGAGCTTTGCAACATCAGCCAAGGAAAGTGATGTGTTTACTAGGCAGTCTTTTATCTGAGGAAAGAAAGATGCCAAAACCTTCACAACACTTTATGAGATAATATTTCATTGTACAACATTGTGCACGTGCTGCTGCAATGGTTATGTATACTAAAATCATGCAGCAACAAGGTTCAAAAGGCTCAAGTCTTTCATGTGGATGAAATGCTCAACATCTCATGTCTGCAAAGAGCTTCATTTATACAGCTGTGACCAAAAAAGACAATGATAGGCAAATAAACTGTAATAATCAAGGTATGAGAGACATGATAGCAGATAAACAAAAACTGTACTTCAAGTCAAGGAAAATCTGCCACATCCATCACAAGTATTCACATACATACAAAATGAGACTATACTCTTAAAGAGGAGCTTGTCTTTGTCTTTTCCCCAGTACTGGAGTTTGAGGTGGGGGTTGAACAGGCTGAAGGCGCTTGGTCTTTATGGCAGGGAAAGACATGGGGTCAGAAAAGCTGCCAAATCCAGATCCTTCAGAGTTGTCTGCATAAAGACATGAACGACTGTAAAACGACTATCAAAAAAACATTCTTCTTTAATTACTGATTTAAATTAGTAGTTTGACATTTTGGGAAATATACTCATTTGTTTTTTGGAGGAGAGTTAGATGAGAAGGTCGAACCCACTCATGTCTGTTTGTTAAATATGAAACTGCAGCCAGCAGTCTGGAAACAGGGGCAAACAGCTAGCACGGCTCTGCCTGAAGTTAACAAAATCCTCCTACCAGCACCTCCAAAGTTCACTAATTAACACCTTATAGCTTGTGTGTTCAATCCAAATCAAAAAACAAAGAGGACAAACATCATGTGTGTGCCAGACTATTTGTTGGCAGGGAACAGTAACCCCTTGGTAATCTGGCAACTGCTCAGTGCCAAAAAATAATTATTGTTCGTAGACTTTTTGGTACAGATTAAACAAACGAGACATAACATGCTGAGTGATCTTTAGAGGTGCTGATAGGTGGCTTTTGCTACCTTTTGTCAGAGCCAGGCTAGCTGTTTCCCCCTATTTCCAGTCATGCTAAGCTAAGCTAACTGTAGGCTATAGCCTTCCATTTAGTGATGTGAGAGTGTTAGAGAGCTTTATTTGTAAAGTATTCCTTTAACATAATCATTCTGAGGCCTAGAAAAATGGTTTCCGCCAACTCTGTTTTTCTCTTTACCGTGAACGCCGATCATGTGCTCTAGGATCAAGACCCTCTCGGCCAGGATCTTCAGGGCCTCCCTGAGCTGCTGCACAGTTTCGCCCTGAATAACACCATCATGTTTATTTAGAACAATTTTTCAAATGAGCTCAGAGATAAAAAATACTAATGTCTCTTACCTCATTCAAGCCTTCTCCTGGTTCTCCTTTTGGCCCTGGTGCTCCCTGTGAAAAGCAATACAACCTTGTTATCTGTGTGTGTGTGTGTGTGTGTGTGTTGTTTTATGCCACACAATAACCTTATACTTACAGGAAGGCCCTGCTTGCCTGTTACACCTGAAGGCCCCTGGTAGAAAAGGAACAGAGAGAAATCATTTAGGAGTCCTGCTCACACACACATTCTTTATCCCCCATGCTAATCTGGCTCTTCACCATCTCTCCCATCTTAAATCATGCTAGTAGAGGAAGGGGATCAGGTTTAAAGACAGAGGTCCACTAAAGAGCCGGATAAAAGAGGGGACCCGACATGGCTGCCCTGATTAGTGAGGCCTGGCCTTGAACAAGAGAGGAGGATTAGTCACGGCTCCGAATGTGTCTTTGAAGAAAAGCTTGTTCACCTTTAATGTGTTTAAGATTGCATGACAGCTAGAACCATTTACAAAACGTAGAACAAAAAGCATTTTGATAGTTCATCAGAATCAAATCTGTACAGCCAGCCCGCTAATCCAATAATGAGGACAATTTTTGAAGCAGCCTCACCCTTTCCCCTGGATCTCCTTTAGGCCCAAGATCCCCCGGCTTGCCTTGGAGACCGTCCTTGCCCTTATGGCAGGAAAACAGAAGGTATTAACAATGCCAGTCATAAATAGATATTTTTATTGATCAACACATACAGACACTCACATCTCCTCCCGGCAGGCCTGGCATCCCTGCAGGTCCGCTCAGCCCTGGAGGGCCTGTGGTGTTGTTCCCAAAACATTCACACATGAGGGGGATGAATGTCAAAATGTTTAAGTTTGGCTCTGACTATTGTGCAATGAAGAAATTCAATTCAGTCAATTTAACACAGTTTAATTTAATTCAGAAATGATAGTGTCCTCTGAGAGAGATTTGTCAGGGTTTACAAAATAAACACTTTAAACCCCCACATTCTCAATGTTTAATTGTTTTAAAGTTCCCTTAATTTAAGTGGCTTAAACAATGTTTTCACATTTGCATCTGCTCGTACCAGTGTTTCATTAAATGCTTATATAGTAAAAATTCAAAACATCACTCTTTTGTTGCTACACAATCACAGTATTTAAGGCTTCTTCTGACACATGCTCCTGTATATTAGTACAACATGTTTCCTGAGATCCTGATTTTAAATAAAGTTTTGTGAGTTGGAGCAGACCTTGGTTGCACTAAATGCATTTGTAATGATGGACCAATCCAAAAGAGTCAAAACTCAATCACGGCACAATATACATACATACATACATACACATACATGTAAGTTTTATGAACTGTGTTGGATTGAGGCCATGCTGTTCTGTGGCGTTTCCCTCTAATCTGTGGGCAGAAAAAAGTTTAGATTCATACCTGACGGTCCAACAGGACCAGCTGGACCAGGAGGCCCGATTATGATCTGAGGAGCTGGGAGAGCTGGACAGATGGAGAAAAACAAAAACAAAAGTCTTAATGAAAAGTTTAGTTTGACCTTTTCACATAAAAAGACAATGGAGACTGTAACGACAGATTAGATCAAATTAAATTAAAACCTGACTGAGGTTCATTAACAATGGAGTTACAGCAAGAGATGGATTGTATCTTGCTGTAACACTTTAACTAATGTCGTTTAGCTTTTCTTCTCAAGTCAACAGAATCAAACAGATGTTACATTATACTCTATTTAATACTTAAAATGCTTTCATTGATTAACACTCTGCATAGTAAAAGAAGTGACTCATAGGCTGCAACCTGCCAACTACATGTTGCCAAAGTTGTAACACTTGATATTTGACATACTTCACACAGTTCATTCTTAGCACTGAAATGCATCTTGGTTGATCTGATCTCAAATCAGCAGCTCTAAATACAGACGTAAATGCACCAAAAAGAAGACAATGACACACTAGAACCTGGTAACTCAAGTCTCACTCAAAGGTTTGTAGTATATCAACTCTGTACTCTGCTTCGAGCTCAACAAACCTCCAAAACAGTTGAAGGTGAAGGCTGTGGCTGCAGCGAGATACCAAACACTCAATGTAAACTTGTATTTTCTTTACCAGCAAACCTAGTTTCCTCTCAGATAGAGCAAAATTAGAAGGAAAGCGAAATCCAATCAAAACTAGTCAGTCATGATCGATTGGAGACGCAAACAATTAGATTTAGAAACAAACTGGTTCTGCTGCTGTAGATCTGCAGCTACAGACTGTGTTTACTGTGTTTTGTACATCTTGGGCATAGTTGACATCTTTGTTTGGATTTACAATTTGACTTGCTGTATCTACAGGTTATACCATATGTATACTATTGGGGTGTCAAACAGCAAAAGTTAAGACATCAATGGTCACCAGTCAAGCTACAGAGTTTCATCATCCGTCAATAGCAGGATTCAATCCAGTGTGATCGACAGGAACAGCTGGTCAATCTACAAGAGGTCCCATTTAATGGAGTACTAAATGCTTGTACATGATCTCTCTTCAGAGAAAACATTTAGAAGGTGGAAGTCGTGCCTTGTTCTCAGCATGTAGGATATTTTAAAGTATGCTTGTAAGTATAAATTTTGTTTGCAAGCACACCACACTTCCACTTCCTCTACACTTTAACATATGCTTAGAATCAGTCTCCCCCCGTGTTGAGACAGCACTGTTACATTGTGGCTGCAGTCCACAGAAAAGGTCTAGAAGGAGCAGATTTCCCTCTGGAACTAATTTTCTAATGTTACAGTCTCCTCGAGCCTGGCTGCCTCCCCAAGAAACTCCACATGAGTGGCAGACTATCTCCCTCCCTCGTTTATAGCTAGCCCAGATTTTGGCTCAGGGCCGCAGCCTGTTCCCCCAAACGCAGACTGTTGTGCTGACAGCTAACAAATTAGGCCTGATTTACAGCCAGTTGGCCCCCCTCAGCTAACATGGTCCCACAGACCCAAATCTACATAGTTCCAGACCCGCAGACACAGTCCCGGGCTCAGAAAGGCAGACTCAGCCAAAAGCCTAATCGGAGCCAGCCGTCTTCATGAGGTAATGATTATAGCATGGCCTTCTACTGCCCCCCTGTGGTGAAACCTAGGTTATAAACGTGAGCTTTTACACAGGGGCTTTTTCTTTCATCTTGTATATTTCAAAGGATATGAAGATTTCAATGTTTTTGACTATGAGAAAACAATTATTTTCCTCTATAGATGTTTGATTGTACAGATCGTTGTGGGGAGTAGACAAAGAAGTGAGGCTGTCTTAAAGATGTTAAGATGAAAGAAAATGCCTCAAAATATTTTTCTCTTTGATTCAGTCACTTCAAAACCACCTGAGGTAATCTTGTGATTTATACGCAGGCATTTGGCCATGGTGGTGCTAAATGCGGTTCCAGTAAACAGTGGCTCAGCAGCAGCAAAACACACGGACACAATTAAACTAAATCTAAGCCAGCCCTTCGCTGCAAAGAAACAATACCCTCTCCATTGTGCATTGAAGTCCTTTGCTGAAAGTAAAGACGCATATAGTTCCTGGTAACAGCTACAGCATGCATTTGTCTCTTAGCTTCCACCTGTTACCCCTTTTAAATCATTTTCCATACATAGAAAACCATCTGGCCAGGGTTAATGTTCTGCTTGACAAAATGATTGCAAAGAGAACAGGATGGACATAATGTATCTGAGATATAAGAGTGTTTGAAACTGGTGAAGCACACAATTCATCAAAATGGACCTGTGGTTTTGGCATCAATTCAGACCATCCAAAAACTGGATGCTTGAATGGTTTTACAATTGTTCTTGGGTCAGAATTCAACCATGTGTGTAAGATCGGCTTCTATTGTGTTCTCATTTGAGGCAATCTGGGACAGTTTAGACATAAGTTACTGTAAAAGAGTGAATTTGAGGTCTGTTCACCTTGATTGTCCGCATGAAAAACGTCACCCCGCAGAATAGGAGAGGAGTTCGGCCCTGGAGGACCCGGTCGACCAGGAGGGCCGGGGAGACCTATTTCTCCTGGTAGACCTCTGTCCCCCTTTGGTCCTAAGCACCGAGATAAAATACAAAATACAATTAATCAAGCAATCATGTTATACAAGGATTTGTCAATTGTCCTCAAATCATCTTTTAATGAGCAGATGAAACTGTTGTGTCAGAAGATATTTTACCGATGGGTCCAGGGAGGCCTGCTCTTCCAGCTGGACCAGGAGATCCTGCAGAACCTGGAAGTCCTGGTGGTCCGATGGGCCCTGGAGGCCCTCTACCTCCTGGTACTCCAAGAAAAAATAAAGAAACAGTCAGTCAAATTTTTCTAAATCTAAATCTAAAATGATTAAAGGGGCGCTCCTTTGATTTTACACATTAAGTTCAGTTCACTTGAGTAAGACTCAACAGGTGAAAAGTTGTAAATGTCTTCTGTGGCTCTGGAGGAGCTTTCAACATTTTTCATCTGGGTTATTTCAGCTTGGCTTAAGACATAAACATTTTAACAGAAAGGGTGTGATACAAACTGGAGATGTGGGGACTTTGAAAGAAGTGCCGCTTCAAGTAAAACTTTTTTAGTGTTGTTATTGTTGTTTTAATTCTGTTTCTTACAAGTGTCCCGACTTTATGGAAGTGCAATACAAAATTTTTGTAGAACCCCTTCAACCTCCTTGCTGTCTGTTAGCGAGGATAGTCAAAGAAATAAGGGAAAAATAAATCAAATATCAAATATTTCCAAACATCCACGAAAACATGAGCAGCATGCATCAGCACACATCACTAAAGCCAAATGGATGTACTGTAGGCTGAAAAATACAAAATGTCACTTACAATGTTGTTTGTATCATAATGTGTGATGTAAATGTCGGACTTTGTGACTTTTTCTACAGGCATTAAGAGATCAAGAAACAGCTCTTCAATATCTCCACTATATATGTCAGAAAGCATGTTTTGTGGCGTGTTGATACCTGGTGGAAGGTATAACGGCGGTCCGATGGGAGTGGGATGGGGTGTGTCCACCTCGTTGTCTGTTGAAACCTCTGGTAAACTGCTCGGCAGGAATGAACGTCCCGCTATTAACAGCTTGATCTGGAACAAGAGCAGCAGATCACATACACATCTGCACTCTGGTACTCTGGTGTTCATAAAGACAGGCGCGTACGGATCCTCTTTACCTTTGATTCGATGGCATTTATTCTGCTGTTCATGTCAGTGAAACTGGTACAGTTCATACGGTCTGTAAGAAAGAAAAAACAGGCACGCTGAGTTTAGTTTCAACATTAGCAGACATACTGTACATGCTGCTTCTTCTCCATCTGTCTTTTCCGTTCCCTCTGTCTCTGCCTTGTCTCTTTCATCCCTGTTTCTTTATTCGTCCTGGCACCATCAGTAGTATCTTTCTATATCTCACACTGAGCAGGTCAGGCCAAGATACACAAGAACAATGTCCATCAAACCAGACCCAAGAATTTATTAGAAATTCCTCCTTAAATCATGTCACTCACTCACTCACAGAGTAAATATTATTACGCCTCTCATAGAATTCTCTAATTCTCTCTGTTGCTGACACACATACCCTCTCTCTCACACACACACCTGCTTGTCTCATGACTCGGCATGTTTTCTGTCTGTCTGCCCGCTCTCAGTGATGGTCTGAATACCCACATTCACGTCCTCCTCCAGATACTAAAACCAAAGCCATTAACTGTGTATAGCACATGGAAAAGCAAACAAACACATTTACACACCACATATTTTCACTGCCATTTCCAAATTTAGAAAGAATGATGAAAGAATGACTTACATTTGTCTACCTTCAATTTAATTTACCTAACAAAGTATCTGGTTGTCTTCACAGCATTAAAGTAGAATACACAGGAGAAGTCTCATGATACTCTATATTCTTCTGTCAACAAATCCCTGGAAAAGACCAAATACAATGAAGTGATCCAACTAAACTGTATTGTTTGTGTTGCCAAAGCCTAATATATCTAAATGACACTGTAGATTGCGTAGTAAATCCAACATATACCGTCCTGGTGCTGTTGATACTCCACCAACTCCTGAGGGAAATATCTGGCTATTTAGCTGCTAAATGTTCCACTATGTTCACCAGCTAGTTGCTAACGTTCAGAAAAGATTCATCTTCAGTAGGAAAGAGTGGGTTTGGAGCTAGGTGTCACAGACAGGGTAGCAAAGTCAGTATGAATTGAGAGACAGACTTGTTGGTTTTGGTGTTTTGTTGTTGTTGACAATAAATATTAAATAATGCCAGATATATAATTTTAGAAACAGCATTGATGCTTATTTTCTCAGATTTCTTGCATTCATTTTTGCTGTCAGCACCCGCATAATATTCATGTGCATGCACCATATGACATTCTTGTGTGCCAGCAGCTTTCTGTGTTATACTCAATTATACCATTCTAGCTGCCACTAGACCCACAGATACCTACACATTCCTGGCTGTACTGCATTTTTGGATCCTTCACATGAGCTGTACTCCAAAATCCAAAACGAAGAACAGCATAGTTTCATAGAAAAACCCAGTATTTGTTCTAAATGTGAGCCTTCCTCCATCCCATGGCTCATAAGAAGTCTGGAATGTCAGCTGTCAGTCCCACAGACGGGACCCACCCACATTGTGGTCATAGCAGGGATACCTAGAACGAGGAACAACTTGTGCTCATAAATAACTAACGCAACAAAAAGAAAATGACCCAAACAGCTCTAGTTTACTTAAATCAGCGTCTCTGACCCCAGCACACAGGGTACTAATGGCAACTGCTGAGGTTTCAGCTTCACTGTATTAGGACAGGGTGAATTTCTGTACCATGCCTGTGTGTCTATAACCATGCACATCAAGTCCAGTGGTGTATTGGACTGTTTGGGTGCGGTTTCTCAATGCCTCATTTCAACATCTTGAATCTCACCCTGGAGCGCAGCCACAATCGGAAACAACAATCAACAGCTCAACCCAAAACACATTCCTCAAGATTCATCAAGCCCAAATACTGAGCTGCTCAACCGCCGAGGCCAAAATGTCCCCACATGAGCTGTTTTGTTGTGACTGACTGTATGCATTGAGCATGCTTCAGTGGCTACACAACCAAGGACATGAAAGCACAACAGCAAGACTGCGGGCAATCACAGGCTCCCAAATGTGTGAGGACTGATAAACTGATATGCCTTCATCTCCTCCACAGTTATTCATCATCGGCCCAGAGGAGGTCTCCACCCTCTTGACACTGTTTCTCTGTTATATACAGAACATCAAACTGTGACGCATTCCAAGAGTTATTTTGTGATGATATGGTTACATTGAGTTTTTAGCCACGCTAGCGGTGTGGCTCTGGGAATGGCAGTCGGTGTGTCAGTCAGTCAGACGCTCAGACATTTGGTCTACCCCTTTGGTGCAGACTGAAATATCTCTGTATCTCTATAACTATTCAATGGGCTGTCATGAAGTTTTGTACAAACATTGTTTCCAGAGGATGAATCTTGATGATTTTGGCAATCTCCAGACGTTCACTTGCCACCATGAGGTTGACATGTTTGTTTTTTAGTCAAATATCTTGACAACTAGGCCTATTTGATAGATTGTCAAGAAATTTGGAGCAGACATTCATGGTCCTTGGAGCATGAATCTTAATGACTTTGATGATCCCATCTTTTCCTCTAGTGCAGTGGTTCTCAAAGTGGGGTTGCTGGGGTCCTTAAGGCGGTTCCCAGCAAAAATGGGACTGCCTTGGTCTAACTTTTGTCAGTTTAGGGGTCCATGACGTGAAAAAGATTTGAGAACCACTTCTGTCGTGCATCCAATAAATATTTTAACATCAACAAGACAAACTGACACAAAAGCTTTTTCATTCAGGCCCAGAGGATGAATCCTAATGACTTTGATGATCCCCTGATTTTTTCCTCTAGCGCCACCATATGGTTCACATTCTAGGTTTTGAGCATGTTAGCATTGTCATGTGATGTTAGCATTTAGCTCAAAGCACTGTCGTTCAGCCTCACAAAGCCACTGGCATGTCTGTACACTTGATTGAACTTTTCAACAAGCTTCAGAGAAATTAGTGCATTTTCAAATGTAGGCAGAGAGAGTGATATTGACAGTGTAGTACTCAAAATACATCATGTCTAGTAGCTGATTTGCTGTACACGATCAATTGAAAACATAATAAGTAAAGCAGCCTGGCTTTCTGCTCCCCAGACATTAAAGTAAGGCTTCTCCAGGTCGACTCTTCACTCCTAATGAGCTAACCCATCCAATTCTTCCAAAGAGAGCCAGAAATATACCAGCCATATCTCGTAATGTCATAAACACACACCACAGGAAAACACCAGAACTGAGTCAATCTAGCATAAATGTGAACCAGAGCAAAACAACTGTGAATTTATGTTTAGTTTTTTTTCTAAAGGTGGCGGGTGAGATGTCTGTTCCTGCAGTTGGAATTTAATTATGTTGGGTTAGAAAACCAAACTTCCGCTGTGCTCAAGCTGATGTTTAGAACGGGACCGGAGCTATAGGGTCTGTTTGGATCCATAATTACACCATGGCAACATAAGACAGGGTTATTTTTCTTGGACTGTACTCAGCTCATGGGAAAGATTCAGAACAGTGTTGTCTTTAGTGGGAAGCCAAGTAAACAAAAGGAACTGCAAACTTTTTCTGCTCCAAAGAGAAGTGAAGGAAGGATGTGTATGTTTGAGTTGATCAAATATTCAAATGCTACATCTTGTCTGATATTATTGGAAATTCACTGAAATTTATTCCAAGGCTAGGATCATTCTTTTTAAATTCATCATTTCTTCATTGTGTTTTGTTATTTACATGAACGACAGAGCAAATGCAATATTCCAAGACAAGTGAAAATATTTAAAATGACCATGGAAACAGTATACTTAACCATAACCCTAAAATGTTATTAGTAAAAAAATATCAGACTGTTGGGTAATACAGCATGCAAATGGATTACATGTCCATAAATAACATCATGTGGAAGCAACACTGACATTAGTCTTATGTGATAAGCTCAATTGCTAAGTCTGGCGATGAGAGACTAAAGCAGACTGGCTGCTTGAATCAAGCTCCCTCCAGGCAAAGCACAGAGTGTAAATAACATTAAAAAGACTCTTGGACGATAAATCTTCATTTAAACATCAGAGGAACCAAAACAAAGAACATATTTCATGTCAGCATTCTACAAAAACAACGACCAGTTTAATGACTCATTGCTTCCATTATTGTGTGGTCTACAATACAAGACAAACCAGGATATATTGGCAAGAGTGTATGTCAGACTATGGGCATCATTTGTTCAGACAGCTACATTTCCTACATTAGACCTGGATACAGATCAAAGAAACCACACGCACACACACACACGCATCGAAAACCTCAACCACAAGACAAACCATGACGCACACAGCTGGGGACAGTCATTTTGATTGCCACTAAATTCTTTGCTCTGTCTGTCTGTGTGAGCAGGACAGAAGGATGATGTATTGAAACATCTTCTGGGACCTTCTTAAGAGTTGCTGTCACATACCCAAGATACACAAACAAGTGTGTGCCCAGTCTGTAAGCTCTTTGTGTGTGTGTGTGTGTGTAGACAGTCTCTAAGAGCTGGCTGTGTCCCAGGAGCCTGCTGTGTGTCGGCCCCAGCCAGCAAGTGGTCAACTATTGCTGGCATGGAGAACAGCTGGCACAGAACACACGCCCACACAAACAGACAGACAGACACACACACACACACACACACATACACTCCTACTGTCACAAACTCTCTCACTCACTAAATCACACACCCACTTTGACTGCGGTGGCTGGTGGAGGACGGTGAACGGAGCTTTCTCTGAAAACCAAGATGTCTAGTAGCCCACAGTGGGACCATTTAGCATTTTTCACCATGATGCCAGTTGACAGGCCACACACCATTTATTTTAACTGAGGCTTTGCAACCTTTTGCAAGCAAGAAATACTTGGCGATTGACATCATTTCCAATAACCTTTGATGTGCGGTGCCATTATTTCATGCAGAACAAGATATGACTATATAATAGACTTCAGAACCACAATGAGGCACCGCTATTAATCTGACATTCCTGCTCACAAAATGCAGCGACTCAACAGGCGTTGTTATGAAACAATGACAGACTGAATCTCTTCCAATCTGAGAGTGCACCTAATTTCTCTGTCATTCCCTCATGCTACCAGAATGCATGCACACA